ATGTCAGTGTATGGCGAAAACCACTGCAATATTGTAAAGTTATTAGCCTCCAATTAAATAAATAATTTTTTAAAAAGAGAAGACAAATTCTTCAGCAAGTGGTGCTGGGAAAATTGGAGAGATGCATATAAATCAATGAACTTAGAACACACCCTCACACCACAGGCAAAATATAAACTCAAAATGGCTTAAGGACATAAACGTAAGACATGATGCCATAAAACTCCTAGTAGAGAACATAGGCAAAACACGTTTTCTTAGGCCAGTCTCGCAAGGCAGCAGGAATAAAAGCAAAAATAAACAAACGGGACCTAATCCAGCTTACAATCTTTTGCACAGAAAGGAACAAAAGACAACCCACAGAATGGGACAAAATATTTGCAAACGACGTGACCGACAAAGGATTGATTTCCAAACTATACAAGTAGCTCATACGACTCAACACCAACAAAACCAAACAATGAAAAAATGGGTCAAAGGTCTAAATTTCTCCAAAGAAGACATACAGATGGCCAACAGACATATAAAAATATGCTCAACACCAGTAATTATTAGAGAAATGCAAATCAAAATAATAATGAGGTACCACCTCACACGGCTGAGAATGGACATCACTGAAAAGGTCTACAAATAACAAATGCCGGACAGGGTGTGGAGAGAAGAGAACCCTCCCCTACACTGTTGGCAAGAATACAAATCAGTGCAGTCACTATGAAAAAGTCTGGAGGGTCCTCAGAAAACTAAAAGCAGAACTGCCATATGATCCAGCAATGCCACTCCTCGGCATGTACCCAGAGAAAATTCTAATTCAAAAAGATACATGCAGCCCACTGTTCAGGGCAGCATTCTTTACAACAGCCAAGACATGGAGGCAACCTAAATGTTCATCCACAGATGAATGGATAAAGAAGTGGTACAGACATAATGGAACACTACTAGGCCACAGAAAATAATACGATGCCATTTGCAGCAACATGGATGGACCTAGAGAGGATCAGAGTAAGTGAAGTCAGTCAGACAGAGAAAGACAAGTACCTGATGGTATCATGTATATAAGGAATCTAAAATATGGCACAAATGAACTTATCTGAGAAACAGAAAGACTCACAGACAGAGAGATCAGACTTGTGGTTGCCGGGACAGGGAAGGGCCGCGGCTGGAGAGGGATGGACAGGGAGTTTGAGATCAACAGATGCAAACTATTGTATGTATATGATGGATACACAAGGTCCTCCTACGTAGCAGAGGGAACTATATCCAATGTCCTGTGACAAGCCATAATGGAAAAGCGTGCACGTACATGTGTAACGCATGCTGCTATAAAGCAGAAGTTACCACAGCACTGTAAGTCAACTCTAATTCCATTTTCAAAAAGGTGACACGGGGAACACATGTAAATCCATGGCTGATTCTTGTCAACGTATGGCAACAACCACTACAATACTGTAAAGTAATTAGCCTCCAACTAATAAAAATAAATGAAAAAAAAGAAAATAAATAAAATAAAATAAAAAGGTGAAAAAAACCACCCAGAGAATGGGAGAAAATATTTACACAGTATATATATATGAAAAGGGACTGTATCTAGACTACAAAGAATGTTTATGAGTCAACAATAAAATGACAAACACCTCAACTGAAAAACAGTCAAAGGATCTGAAAAGACATTGTCAGAAAGAATATATAAAAACGGCTAACAAGCACATGAACAGAGTCTCAACATTAGTCAGGAAGGAAAGCATTAGTCGCTTCCGCCATATCTGACTCTTTGTGATAGCAGGGACTGCAGCCCGCCAGGTTTCTCTGTCCATGGAATTCTCCAGTCAAGAATACTGGAGTGGGTTGCCGTTCCTTTCTCCAGGGGATCTGCCTGACCCAGATCTTCTGCACGGACTCTACCATCTGAGCTACCAGGGAAGCCGGTAGTCAGGAAGGAAATGCAGTTCAAAACCACAAGGAGGCAGCACTGCCCTCACACCGGCATGGACAGTCCTCAATCAGGAAGACGGCGAGTGCGGGGGAAAAAATGTGAACATGCTGGAACCCTCGCACAGCGCAGGTGGGAATGTAAACTGGGGCAGCTGCTTTGGAAAAGAGTCTTGAGGTTCTTCAGAAAGGTAAACAGTGTCACTGTCTGAACCGGCCATTCCACTCCCTAGGTCTAAACCCAAGAGAAATGCAAACGCATCGAACCACACAAACCTGTAGCACATGAGTGTTCACAGCAACATCACGCACAAGAGTCAAAGGGTGGAAACCACCCAAGTGTTCATGAAGGGTAAGTTTGCAAAGGAATGTTAACAAACAGGAAGGGAGCCCTGACACAGGCTATGATGCGGACGGACCTTGAACACATGACGTTCAGTGAGAGACGCAAACACAGAAGGACACACAGCGTGTGATTCATCAGTAGGAAACGTCCACAACAGGCAAATCCATGGAGATAGGAAGTGGATTCATGGTTGCCAGGGACTGGGGGAGTGGGTGGTTACATGGATGGACGGATATGGGGGTGGATGGATGGACAGATGAATGGAGAATGGATGGACAGATGGATGAATGGAGAAGTATGTGCATGGGTGAGTGGGTGGATGGATGGATGACTGGATAGATGGGTGGTTGGGTGATGAATGGATGGATGATGGAGAGATGGTTGGATGGACAGATGGATAAGTGGGTGTATGGATGGATGGATGGATGGATGGATGATGGATGCATGGTTGGGTGGGTGGATAGGTGGGTGGGCGGACTGACCGGTGGATAGATGGGTGAATGGATGACGGATGGTTGGGTGGGTGAGTTGGTACATGGGTGGGTGGGTGGATGGATGGATGATGGATGGATGGATGGATGGATGGATGGATGATGGGTGGATGGATGGGTGGATGGACGTGTGGATGAATGGATGATGGGTGGATGGATGGGTGGATGGATCATAGATGGGTGGATGGATGGATGGGTGGGTGGATGGATGACGGATGGAGAGACGGATGAATGGATAAACATCATGTGGTCCATGCACACACTGGAAGACAACTCAGTGAATGAAGAGGTGGGAAGCTCTGACACAGGCTGCAACATGGATGGACCCTGAATACAGGGTGGTCAGTGAGAGAAGCAGACACAGAAGGACACACAGTGGGTGGTTCCATTTATACAAAGAGTCAGAAAGAGGCAAATCCACAGATATTGAAGGCAAATAGTNCTGCAGCAGCAGGACCCCCGGGGGATCAAACACACGGGAGGTGCCCGCCCACAGCTGTCAACGACAGCGAGAGTTGGGGTGCTGGGAGCACGGGGACCTCACGTGTGGGCACGACACCGGTGGACAACCTGGGGCCTCTGACTGACATGAATCGGGGGCCTGTCCTCTGTTCAGTACGCCTGCCAATGCAGGAGACGCAGGTTCAAACCCTGACACAGGAAGATCCCCTGGAGGAAGGAATGGCAACCTGCTCCCGTGTTCTTGCCTGGAGAATCCCACAGACAGAGGAACCTGGAGAACTGCAGCCCACAGGGTCACAGAGTCGGACGCGACTGAGTGATGGACACACACACAGAGTGAGACAGCAAGGGACCATAGGGACCGTGGGCCCCTCACAACAGCCAGCCAGCCACTAGGGGTGGCCAAGGACACCGTGCCACGTTCCCGTGAGAGATGGTGCAGACACCAAACGACAGGGTGTCCACACGGAGGATCCGGAGCCACACTCTCTGCGATGAGCACCTCTCTGCGGGCACACTCAGGGTAAGTCCAGAATCACAGGCGCTGTGTGGACTGTGGACACGCATCCCTTGGACAGGAGACACAGGGGAAGGCCGGGGGAGAGCCCGTGGGGAGGGTCCCTCTAAGATCACGAGGCCCCGGGGGACGGCACGCAGGCTGTCGTGTCCTCCAACAGCAAGGACGGAGCTCAGCACGAGCCCTCTGTGCCTCAGGCCCCAAGGATGGCAGAGAGCAGACTCAGAGAAGCCGAGCTCTGCGCCTGCCATGACCAAAGAAGGACCACCCCACGTGCCCATGGGAACACCCACCTTGGCCACGCGGCCCATGTCCTCCATGGCGGCCCTCTCATGCGGGAACTGCGCGAAGGTCCTCTCGATCTTGGCGATGACGGTGTCCACGTTCACCGCGTCCTGCGGGCGGCCGCGGGGGAAGTAGAAGGTGGGGATGCTCCGGCTTGCGGCGGGCGGCAGGGGCTCCTCCTTCCTCGTCTGGACCTGAGAGAGAGGACAGTGAAGGCCTGGGCACGTGGGCATCCTCCTCCGGACCCACAATGAGTGAGGGCCTGGGCACGTGGGCACCTCCTCAGGACCCACACTCAGTGAGGGCCTCGGCATGTGGGCATCTCCTCAGGACCCACGCTCAGTGAGGAACTGGACACGTGGGCACCTCCTCAGGACACACATTGAGTGAGAGCCTGGGCACGTGGGCACCTCCTCAGGACCACGCTCAGTGGGGACCTGGGCACGTGGGCACCTTCTCAGGACCCACGCTCAGTGAGGACCTGGGCACGTGGGCACCTCCTCAGGACCCACACTCAGTGAGGACCTGGGCACGTGGGCATCTCCTCAGGACACACATTGAGTGAGGGCCTGGGCACGTGGGCACCTCCTCAGGACCACGCTCAGTGAGGACCTGGGCACGTGGGCACCTTCTCAGGACCCACGCTCAGTGAGGACCTGGGCACGTGGGCACCTTCTCAGGACCCACGCTCAGTGAGGACCTGGGCACGTGGGCATCTCCTCAGGACCCACACTCAGTGAGGACCTGGGCATGTGGGCATCTCCTCAGGACCCACACTCAGTGAGGGCCTCAGCATGTGGGCATCTCCTCAGGACCCACACTCAGTGAGGACCTGGGCACGTGGGCACCTCCTCAGGACCCATACTGAGTGAGGGCCTGGGCACGTGGGCACCTCCTCAGGACCCACACTGAGTGAGGACTGGGGCACCTGGGTACCTCCTCAGTACCACACTCAGTGAGGGTCTGGGCACGTGGGCACCTCCTCAGGACCTACGCTCAGTGAGGACCTAGGCATGTGGGCGTCTCCTCAGGACCCACATGAGTGAGGACCTGGGCATGTGGGCACCTCCTCAGGACCCACACTCAGTGAAGGCCTGGGCATGTGACCACCTTCTCCTCGTAATGTGTCATGATCGGAGGCGGGTCTGATCCACGGCGCCTGCCCCGATCCCAGCTGACCCACTGTGGACGGGGCACCCAGACCATCACTGCAGGCTGACCGCAGACATGGGAGGCCATACAGCCCACATGCAGCGCCATATGTGACCACTGGCCTTGTCCACACTGCCCCGCCTCCCTGATCCTGCTTCAGCTGTGACCCCCTGGACAGGACGGCTGCTGAGAACCTGCCCCATGTCCTGCAGGAGGTCATGGGAGGCGCGGTGGGCTGTCCCCTCGTGGCAGGTTGCACCTGTGACCGCTTGTGCGCACACCCGCCCTGCCCCGCGGAGCTTTCAGCCTCAGCCAGCACAGCCCTCAGGAAACACACGGCCCCAGGGATCTGCCTCCCAGGACGGGCATGGCGGGCACCACACAGGGGCCAACACCACACTTGCAGCCGCAGCTAACGTCAGCCAGGCATCTCCTGACGCACCTACCACTTGGGTCCCCGGTGGCCCGCCAGCCCTTCCTCCCAGGGGCCAGGGGGCTGGGAGGGGTCGCATCTGGGGAGGGACACAGCAACAGGGCCTCTGTCACCCCAGGTCACGGGGTTATCAAGACCCATGACAGCCTCCCGTCAGACCCCACGTCACCCGTCCACCCCCACCATACCCCCTACACAGGACGTCAGCCCAGGTAACAGGGTCATTAGGACACAAGAAACAGCCTCACGTCAGACCCCACCTCACCCCCTTCACAGGCCCTGTCACCCCAGGTCACAGGGTCATCAGGACCCATGACACAGCCTCCCATCATAGACCTCAGGAGCCCATGAACCCCAAGCAGGATCACAGAAAGAAACCCACACCTGAACACAGGAGGACAAAACCAGAAGACCCAAAGGCAGCCAGCAGGTGCTCAAACACAGCACAGGCACGAGAAACAAGACAGATAAGGTGGAAATCTTCAAGGAAACAACTGATCCTCCAGCCAACTCTCAACAGAAGCAACTGATCCTAGAAGCCAGAGGAAAACAGTGCCCACCTCGTCCCCTTCTATCTGTGAGGAGGAGGCTGTCACACAAGATGAACACTGAGACATTTTAACAACCCAAACAGAAAGCCAAAGTGAGCGTGCGACAGACACCTGGCCCAGGCGACGCTGAGGCGTGCACGTCAGGGGGGAGCAAGGCGCCCCCAGATGGAAAATCTGAACTTCAAGACGGGGGCGGGGAGAGCAGTGCCTACCTGGGTAACTCCACATGCATCCACCACAGAAATCAGTCATAAAAACATCATCTTACTTCTTCCTGAAAACTCCCAAGAAGACGACAGCGTAAAAGGCAAAGGAGAGAGAATGGAAGTGTATGAGGGTTTTGAGTTGGATGATAAAGATGTGGATTAACTCAGTACCTATAAAAATGACACTGTCAGGTGAGCAGTGACGTGGCAGGAAGTACTCCAAGGGGAAGCCAGATTTTTTAAAAAGAGATGACAAAGAAGAGCACATAGAGAAAAACAAAATAAACCAGAACGGATTCAAAGTGGTAACAGATGTAGGTGGACTAAATGTTCCAGTTAAAAACACAAAGATCAGGGCTTTCCCTGGTGAAGAATCGCCTGCCAATGCAGGAGAGGTGGGTTCAGTACCCGGTCCAGGAAGATCGCACATGCTAAAGGACAACTAGGCCCATGCGCCACCACTTCTGAGCCTGTGCTCTAGAACCCGGGAGCCTCAGCTACTGAGCCCAACTCCCACCTCCCCCGAGAGCCCGTGGCCTGCAACAAGAGAATCCACCGCAAATGAGAAGGCTGTGCACCTCAACCTGAAAGCAGCCCCTGGTCACCAAAACTCGAGAAAAGTCCACACAGCAACAAAGACCCAGCAGGGCCAAAAGTAAACGCAAATAAAGTTAACTTTAAAAAACACAAAGATCAAACAGAAAAAAAAAAGTAAGATTTATTTCTAAGACACACACAGAAGGTCTCAGGACACAGCAGCTAAAACTTAACAAGTGGAAAGAGATACAGCTGCCAACAGCAATGGAAAGAANTAAAGACAGTCTCCGTAAAATCCAGAGATTTTACGAACTCCTCTTTGGAACTCCTCTTTGGATCCTGGCTGGAGTCACAGCTGAAGGGAAAAAAGAAGAAGTAGGCACTCCAGGTAGAGAGACTAGCCTGAGCAAAGGCACGGAGTCAGGAAAGCATCGTTTCTAAGGAATCCCATTTGTCCCAAGACGAGATCAGGTGTAAGGCGTTAAGGGCAAGATCATTTGGGAGCCTAATGGGCAAGGCTGAGTTTGTACATAGACCTTATGCAGTGGTCTTCGAGCAAGGGCAAGCTCCAGCAGGGATGTCTCCAGGAAAAAGCAGTATAACTGCGGAGGAGGGGCGCGAACAGGACAACTGAAAACGGTTGAAGGACACTCAGCACTGAGGGTGGTTCCTCTGGGAGCGCGGACGAGCCAGGGCCACGGGGAGAGAGGAGGGCTTCAGCTTGAGTTGCTCTCAGTGAGCATGTCCTTCACGCAACTAGGACTAATAAATTAGTAAAAGTGGAAGCAGTAGCGGTCACTCAGATGTGTGCAGACTACACAGTAAGCAAAGCACTTTGACTCATGCATGCCTTCGACCAGTGTTTACTGAACCTGCTATGTGTCAGGCCCTGCGCTGAAGGGCTTGCGATCTATCAGTAACTGGTGGCTGACTCCAGTGGAGGAGGTGGACATTAACATCCCTGATAACACTATGGAAAACAGTGTGGAGATTTCTTAAAAAGCTGGAAATAGAACTGCCATATGACCCAGCAATCCCACTTCTGGGCATATACACAGAGGAAACCAGATCTGAAAGAATCATGGCGACTGCGGAGACCAGAGACGCCCGCGGCCCTCGGACACACGCAGCTGCGTGGCCGAGAACAGGACTGAGGACACGGCCTCATGGAGAAGCAGGGCGTCCCAGTTTGGCAGGAGCAGCCGCTCCGGGGACAATGCCCGCCTTCAGGGACAGCCGGGCGCCCCCTCCCGGCACGGCTTGTCTGAGCGCGTCCTCCTTCGGCGTCTCCGTGGACGGAGAGCGTGCGCTGGGCCGGCGGGGATGAGCACGGGTCTGAGCACCCAGGAGGGGAGCGGGGCGAGTGGAGCAGGGGCGGGGCAGCCCCAGGTCGCAGCCTGCACTGGGCCCCAGCGGAGCTGTGGGGACACAGGCGGCCGAGGCAGCCCACGGAGGCCGGCGCCAGGCTGGGAGGCCCTGCAGGCCCGAGTTTCTCCTCCTCCAAGCCTGGGAACCCTCCCCACCGGCTGGCGAGGCTGGGCAGTGCCAACAAGGACCTAAACGGCCTACGGATGGACACCGAGAGCCAAACGGTCCAACAGTCGGCAGGGGCCAAAATGAAGACGAGAGCGTGTGTGCCCTGGGCAGAGAACAGTGCGGTCCGGAGCCGGGAGGCAGGGCTGGGGACATGGACCTGGGGAGCAGCCTGAGGGCCCAAGTCCACGGGCCCTGGGCCAGGGGACCACGTTTGACGCCTGGGTCCCGGGAGCACCGATCAAGAGGGTACACTCGGGCACCCTGCAGAGTGATGTGACCCCCCCGGGGTCTGACACAGGTGGAGTCTGCAGGTTAGGCTGTCAGCACGGGGAGGGGAGGGGAGCTCGACAGCCTGCACTTTCCCAGCGCTGGGCTCTCCTCTCTGTGGGGCCCCTGTGTCCACCTGAAGGGCCCACAGGGAAGGTGGACGGGTGAGAGCGGGACCAGGACCAGGGACGGCAGAGGGGAGCAGGGGAGCCCGCCCCGGGGCACGCTGCGCGGAGACTCAGTCCCGGGGGCGGAGGCCAGCACCCAGCTTGGACGAGGGCAGCGGCACAGCCGGGCGGGGTGCTCAAGGGCTCGGGACACGTGCTGAGGGCCACCACGGAGGACAAGCTGGGGGCCTGAGGGCTGCTCATCAGTGTGCACTTGGCCTGGGCGTCCACACGCAGGGGGTGGACACGGGCTGCAGGAAAAGAGAGCCCCCCAACGACAGCCACACTGCACACCTTCCCGTGGCCGAGCCCACTGCGGACGCACCAAGCTGCAAATGTGGTGAT